GGCCTTTCAACAGCTTTCCCACTGAATGTATGTTCCAGGTAAACAGGCACAATGGTGTTCAAGAAGACTTTGTTTCTGGTGCCTTACATTCCCCAACGCCAATACGTTCAGTGACAATAAACTGAATTGAACACCTGATTCTGCCAGAACTACGATTCCACAGCCCTCAGGAGCCAACTGGCATTGAGTGTGCCCTTTCCACCAAAGAAAATGCAGGGAAGGACGGGTTTGTGTGTCTCCTTTTTGTGTGTGTGCACAAATGATGAACACAGAATTACAGGAGTCCCTAGTGTAAGGAGCCAAATTGTATCCGGCCTGTATGGACTCCTACCCGATTGTAGAAGTCTACATATAAAGAAACATGGGTTTGATATGCAACAAAACTATCTGGAGGTGACAAAAGACACTGATTTACCAAAGACCACAACTATAATTTGCTACTCTATTGTTGTTCTGGGCTGTCAAGTCGCCTCTGACTTATGGCAAGCCTATGAATGAATGATGCTTGCTTGGATAGCTCAGTAGTTTTAGGTATTTGGCTGTGGAGCCAGAGGGTGGGAGTTTAATTCTCCTCCGTGCCTCTTGTGAGTACAGCCAGGCTGCGTAGCTTAGGGCAAGCTTGCACAGACCCCGGATGCCACCAGCGGAAGGAAATGACAAACCACTTCTAAATACTGTCTACATGGAAACCCCTGAAAACGGTCACCGTAAGTCAGAACTGACTTAATGGCACAGGATGATGAATAATAAATAATCTCCAAAATATCCTCTCCTCAACAGTCATGTTCAGCTTTTATAAACCTAAGCCTGTGGCTTCCTTTATGGAGTCAATTCATTTCATACTTGGGTCTTCCTCTAATCTGCTATATGCAATTATAAATTGTCCTATTGGCGTAGAATAAGGTGAAAACAGTAGAACAAGGGGCAACAGTAAGACAAGAGCACACACTCAAAATAATTACATGGTACAGCTTATGACACAACATGCATTTCTTGCTCTGTCAGGGGAGATCGCAGATTTTAATGGGCTCCATAGCAATGTTTCTTTCTTTCTTTTTTAAAAGTAAAATAACATAAAATTTAAACAGTCATTCTTAAGAACAAGAAACTTGATACAATAATTTTCTGTGCATGTTACTTTTTTTAATGGGGAAGCTTGTACGGAGCAGTCAAATGAAATAATTGACCGTCATTTAACAGCAGTGATGTGTTTTTGCTTCAAGTGATGGGAACTGAGAAAGAAAAGAGATACCTAAGGCTGTATGTTCTCCCATACAAGCACACTATTTTATTCTTGCTAGGGTAATTATTTCAAGCTCTAATGTATTTTCACTTCCTACTGGATCTCCAGAAAACATATCAAATTGTGATCATTGGGGAAGATATATTTCTAAATGCAATTAAATTATAGCTTAATTCTACAAATGGTTATTTGAAAGCCATGTTTCACTGAGCAGGGTTGATTCTAAGTTAGAGGTTGGCCTTTGCAAAAGCATGTGGTCCCTTCTGGGTCCCCAGCTGCCACCCATTCCTTCCACTGTGATCTTACTTGACAGCAGCTGGGATGACAGAAGCCATGATACTCTGGAGTGGTCCTATGTTGCCTGCTGTGGGAACTGTGGAAAATTCAAAATGACTGTCTACTTTCCGGCCATTGTCACCGAATAAGAACCTGAAACGAGTGATGCTGGATCAGACCCAAAAAAAAAATTGTTCCAGCATTCTGTTCTCACAGTGGCCAATCAAAGCACACTAGCAGGACATGAACACAACCGTCTCCTGCAACTCATCCTCAGTATCAGCTACTGATATTGAGAAGTATGGTGTCTTTGATATTGGAGGTAATAAGACCTGCCATACCAGATAGCTACCCATAGTCTTACCCTCTATGACAGGGGAGTAGGAAAACCATTGTCACTGATGGCCTCTGCCATGGTGTTAGTGCCTTAACAGCTACATGATGATCTTACGTATTGTGGCTTTATCTGTCACTGCATTCCAGAGTAAGCCTGTTTAGGACTGCAGCCATGTCTGCAACCTCTTTCTTTCATCTGAAAAACTGAAGGCACTTCAATCTAACCGTGGAGAGCATAATAACATCTATTTTTATCTTACTTCCATATTAAATATCACTGCCTGAAGAAAAATGCTGTTTAAAATGGATAACTGCTAGTTGGTCCAGTAAAAGGAATCAGTTTACAGGATCTATATTTCTAGGCCTTATCTATGTAATCCTTTTTGGATTTGTGAAAACAAGTGGCAGAAGAGATTTATGGATGTCGGAGCTGCTCAATAGCTCAGGGACAAAACATATATAACATTCCTTTGTATATATATTAAATGCCATAAAGCCAAAGCAAAATATTTGGCAGCTATGAAAAAATCACATAGCTTACCAGAAGTATTTCCCAGAGAAAAAAGTCTAAGTCTGAATAGTTTGCAGATTAAGAAGGTAGTACTTCCCATATTGATGAAATCTTTAGCATTTTATTATATCTGAGTTATATGCAATGGTGTAGCGTGGGTTGCCGGTACCCAGAGCAAGGCAAGTATTGTGGGACACAAGTCATGTGCTGGCTCTGTGATGCATGAAGTAGCTGCAAGAAGTGGGAAAAAGAGTGTGAGGAGTGGCTGCAGGAGCTTACTCAGCAAGGTGGCCCACGGGCCCCTAAGAATTTTGTGCCCAGGGCAACCACTCCTATAGCCCCCACCAATACTACGCCACTGATTCAACCAACAGGAGCATTCAAACGTGTATCATCAGGATGCTTGTAGCTGTACCAACATGTCCCCCTGTCGCCTACAGACCTGAAGGAGAACCAGATACTTATATAATGTGATTTATGTTTGGCAACAAGAAAAAGGGAGCTCGCAGTGGACAGACTTTGGCTGAAGTGCCTGTTTGACAGCTGTCAAAATCGGGTTCAATGCATTCCAATGGGGGAGAAAAAAATTCACCAAAAATTAACGAAGAGTCAGAACAAAGCCAAATTAAGTTTGCACAC